GAAGGAGACATTAGAATATTATGAGATTAAATTTGACGACCAAGAGACAGCGTATTAAATTAATTCTGTATTCTACAAAAACCATTTAAAGAAATATTACGTATAATAATTATATAATATGTTTAGTTATGAGGAACAGGAGGAAATTATTAATGAATTCTTAACTGCTTGTGGAGAAAAGAAGAACCAGAAGAATAAGATTTTAAAACACAATACGACAAACTGCCATTAACGACCGCGAATCACATATTTCAACTTGAACAAACAGAAACGAAGAATTTTGTGCCAATCAAACAAGCAATACTGAAATTTATGGAACAAGCCCAAAACGGACGAAATTATTTAGACGAGCCATATGTATATACTCCTAAATTCACGTGGCATAAAAAATTACAAAAGTATCATTGGCTAGAAATACACAAACAAGGAACCGGTATGTTTGTAGTAAAGAAAGATTGGAACGCATAGATTTCGAAGTAGTTGAAGTTGAAGCACCAAGCAAATATTATAATAACTGGCATTGCTGATAGTTAAATAGCATTTTACTAAGTCAATTTAGTAAATTCAATAGGATATGGGTTATAATCTTTTGGGGATTTTTCGATTAGGGTCTTACCCCACACCTCATATTAGGATATGGGTTATTTTATGGTCGAGGGTAGGGTTTGTTTAGGTGCTTTGGGTTTTGGATTGTGTTATAGATTGTTGTGTTTATTGGTGGGTTGCTTTGTTTTGGGATTATTGCTTGATTGTTGGGCAGTGCTTTGTGTTTTGAGGGATTTAAGGGTTGATTTTGGGAGGCGGTTTGAAAAATGGGGTGAAAGCGTAGGGGGGGTATAGGAATGTGAGGTGTGGGGTTAGCATCTGCTTGCTGTTAGGGGTTTAGGGTTTGGAGGTTTAGGGTTTCAGTGTCAGGGTTTAGGGTTTGGGGTTTAGGGCTTTAGGGTTTAGGGTTCAGGATTTAGGGTATAGGGTTTGGGGTTTAGGGTAGGAGTCTACTGTAGGGGTCTTAGGTTCGTAGTCACTTACGCCTATTAAAAGTTGCCATCACGAAGGGGTGTTCTGTGGGTTTTGTTAAACAGGGCTTTCAGGGTAAGGGAGCTGTAGGCTTCTTACAGGCCGTCCAATGGGCGTTTAGAAAAATTACAAGTAGAGAGTGGTGCAGAACTTATAGTTCAGGTCACCCGGAGTAGGATGGATTTGTCTCAACTCTGTATCCTGATTCTCCTGAGCAAGAACCCAGGACTTTGCGGAAGCGCTCTTCCCACCCAGCGGAAAGCCACCCAACAAGGCTGCGGCCAGGTGGCAGCTGGAGGTGTTCTTCCGAGTTTTCCAGAAGGATGCCGGCAATTACGTTGCGGGTGCAGTGTGGCTGCTCTTGCGCGAGGCCCTGCAGCGTGGAATTCAGCTTCAGGTGAAGGGCCGGGCTATCATAGAAGTTGGTTTCTAGCCCGTTCTTTCAGAAAGGTTTTGATTTTGCCATTGTAGTTTTAGACTAGGTTCTAAGGAATAGACGCCGTAGGGTCCTCGGAGAAGAGCCCAGGTTTGGCCCAGGGGATGTTCTTCGAAGCTCCGGAGGCGCACGGCCCGGCAGCCGAAAGAGAGGACCGGGCTCCCCAAGACTCTCTGGCCATCTGCAGCGGGGAAGACCGGCGCTTGATTCACGGTTCTTGTTAAGGAATTTAATTTGAGCTATACCATAGTGGGGGTCTATAGTAGATTAATATGGTTTCCTTATGATGGTAACATTCTTTAACAAGAACCCAGGATTTTGGTCCCAACCTTCACCACAGTGGGTGTGCCTCACAAATGGCTCCTCCTGAGACTCAGCGAAGAGGAGGTGATGGCTGCCGACCTAAGCTCGGGAGCTCTGGGTCTCTTGGAATCCTCGGGTGAGCTTAGCCCGGTCCGTGTCTGGGACGCTCACAGCGACCCGAGATACGTGGTCCGCTGCTCTGCTTGGGGCGAGGATGCACGGCTGCTGGCCCGGCCGCCGAAAGTGGGCGGGTTCGTTGCAGGGGCGGCGCAGATGCGCTTGGCTGTCGGATCGCTGCTTGCGGCAAGTGGATTGGGCTGGGATGCAAGGCTGGGCGATGAGCTTGCGGAATCCCTTACGCAAGAACCTGCGACTGTGCAACTGCACGAAGACGACACCTTGGAAACTGCCAGGAGACTTCACAATGCCATCACTCTGCTGGGGCTGTCTGCCCATCTTCCCTCTTCCTTTCTTGAGGCTGCTTCTGACGAGGACATTGCAGCTGTGCATGCAGCCCCTCGGCCACCTTTTCAGAACCATGATTCTGTGATGATTGCTATGGACACAGGAACCTTCTTGTAATTGTGGGCCAGCGGAGCTCGAACTTAGAGTCAACACGAATAGTGTCTCTGTATATCGATCCTGTGGCAATTCCGTAAAGGATAACCCAGCTCATCATTCCTTTTCATTTTAATCCTTGGCAGAGCCTGTTTGGCAATTCGTTTGTCCGTCCGCCCCTCCCTCCCTCCCTACATCCATCCATCCATCCATCCATCCATCCATTTATCCATCCATTTATCCATCCATTTATCCATCCATTTATCCATCCATTTATCCATCCATTTATCCATCCATTTATCCATCCATTTATCCAGCCATTTATCCATCCATTTATCCATCCATTTATCCATCCATTTATCCATCCATTTATCCATCCATCCATCCATCCATCCATCCATCGATCCATCCATCCATCCATCCATCTATTTATCCATCCATCCATCCATCCATGCATGCATCCATCCATCCATCCAGCCAGCCAGCCAGCCAGCCAGCCATCCATCCATCCATCTATATGTCTATCTATGCATCCATCCAACCATCCATCCGTCCATTCATCCATCCATCCATCCATCCATCCATCCATCCATCCAGGTTCCACGAGTATACCATACACGTCGTAGATGTACATGTGCATGTAGAGATAGCTATAGATGTTATTATGTCTAGACATGTCTGTCTGTGCATGTGTGCGTGTTTAGCAAACCTAGAACTCAGAGAACTCAGAGATATCGTTCTTGGCATAGCTCGAAATGCTGTTTACCCCAACGGTCCTCATGAGTCATCGACTGCCCGGGTCATAAAATCACCATCTCCGAAGCTTTTCGCCTGGGTGCTTTGCGTGCCCGTGTGCTGGCTTGGACGATCCGTACCTACTTGTAGAGGCTCCATAGTAGTTCCTTTTTGGGGTTCATATTTAGAATCCTATAACGCAATCCCAAAAAGGAACTACCATGGAGCCTGTGGGTAATAAGATAACACGGACTTGCCCCTTTTCTTCTGAAGCGTAGCCTGCGTGCTCTGGAGCGCTACACTCATCTCATCAGCCTCGATCCGATGACTGAACAGCATGAAAGCGAAAAGGAGCGACCCAGATCTCTTAGGATACGTAAAATTTGACCAACAACTCACCAAAAACCCAAAACACTAGGCTCCTTGTTATGGCCGCTTAAAAAAAGCGAGTGGCTTCTTCAGCACTTCAGCTTAGCGGTATCTTGTACAGGGGCCCTTGTTTATAGGAAGGATCCTACCTCACTATGCAGGGTTGACTTTTCCGTTTCATAGGTTCTTGAAACAGTTTATTAGCAAGGGTCCTTTCTCAGACTTTTCGCTTGCATGCCCCTTCTATCAAGCTGCCAGGGTGTTGCGTCCTCATCCCGGAACCCCTTTGTATGTGCCAGGAACCCCGTGTGTGACGCAGGTACAAAGCCCAGCCTCCTAAACCCTAAGGATCCTGCACGCTAAGTTTTCCCCAAAAGCCGCAGCCCGTAAGAAACGCTAAACCCGAAACCCTGAAGCCCATAAACCTGAAACCCTAAAGCCCCTAAAGCCCCTAAAAACCCCCCGGGCAAGGAAGCAGTGGGAGAGATGGCGCAGCGGAAACTCCGAACTCTCGGCTTCGAGAAGTTGGCCCAAGCAGCTTTCGGTGCGAAAATGGAGGTTTAGGGGTTTAGAGTCGTTTAGGGTTTGGGGTTGAGGGTTTAGGGTTTAGGGCCGTTTCGGGTCGTTTGGGGTTACCTACTCTTCGGGGTTTACATAGAATTTTGCTTCAGGGTTTAGGGCCGTTTAGGGCTCAGCGCGAACCGGGTTTATGTAGGGTTGGTGGGCATGGGCATGGGGTGCTGGGGTTCAGGGTTTGGGGTTGAAGAGGGTTCAGAGTTTCTGGGTTGAGGGGTTGGGTTTGTGCAACCCAACAGGTCCTTCACAACGAGATGCTAAAGGAATGCTTAAAAAGGCAACCTCTGTACAACCACAATGACACCTTCATTGGAGAACCTTTGCCGTATCCCAAAAGGACCCAGAGTTGATAGCAAATCACAGAAGTGTTCAGACGAAGCTGGTTCCTCCAGATGATGCTGAACCACGACTTTTGCACATGATTAACTATGGATGTTGTACTGGATGAACCATAGCAGCAGGACTGATGAGGGGTGATGATGTTGGTGCTAATCAGGATACTTACTTGTCTCAGCTAATGGTAACGGGGATGATGGCCAGGGTGCTCTTCATTGTAAGTTTGTTGGATTCTCGTATACTGAAAATATCACGTAGGGCGTAAATCGTCGCACTGACAGCAATCATGATGCCGACTGCCATGACGCTCGTGCGAATTTCTCGCTCGCCGCCTCGCTTCTGAGTGCTCTTGATTGCCGATTTCCTTGGAAGGGGGCTCAACGAAATTAGGTGCCCTGGGTGACCTTGCACTTAGTGCAGTCTTAGAAGGGTGCGCCCCTCAAGTGACGGATTCAAGCCATACCTCACTATACCCAGGATCCTACAGGGACCATGCTCCAAAAGAATTCTCACACAATGTCAGCTAGACTGCACAACAAGCTAGGTTCTGGGGTTGCCTTTTACCGTGCCTCCACAACAAAGTAGTGTCGCTGTAACCCTGACTATATTCGACAACGCATATCTCGTGCCTTCATGTGCTTGTTCGCAGCATTGCTCGCAGACGCTGGCAATGCCAAAGAACGCGAACATGTCGCGCCGAATTTTCCAGAGTATCGCCGCTGCCATGCTTCTGATAGGTCTGCTAGGTGCTACCTCCAGCTTCGCAGTCAGACAGCAACGAGGAAGGGGTCAAGACTTCCGAAGTCTTCAAACAAAATCCACTTGGCGGATGAAGGACGGACAGGAGGACAAGCGCAGTCTCCTTGCGAAGCTCCGCGATCCCAACAGCAAGCCGAGAGATCTTGCCACGACGGTCGCTGCTTTGCAGCAGCGTCGTCTACTGACAGAGGCCCGGGAGTACACGACAGCGATCAATGTACTTGGCAAGTTGGGTCTTTGGCGTGAGTGCTTGGGCTTGCTGGTGGACATGCAAAGGAACGGGCTTACGCCCAATGTGATCACCTACAACGCAGTTCTGAAGTCCCTGGCGCGCAACCGCCGCTGGCAGGAGGCGATTCAGCTGATTGCAGAGATCTGGGAATCAGGGCTGTCACCCGATGCTGGGCCTTGATGTTCAGCTGCTGTATGTATAAACAGACAGATACCAATAACTACATAGCTGAACACTTACCATGTGTGTATATGTATGTAAATTTATGTATGCATGTATGCATACATGTATGTATGTGTGCATGTATCTATGCATTTTTGTATGTATGCATGTATGTATGTGTGTATGTATGTATGTATAAGCAAGTTGTCTTAAGACAACATGAGTTGTGTTTTGGCAGGGGCTCCAAACGAGCCCCAGGATGTGATATCCTACACAACGGCCATCTCTGCTTGCGCTGACAGCGGACACTGGAAAGAGGCTTTGCAGCTCTTGGCCGAGATGGAGCGTGCTGGGATCAAGGCCCACAGTCAACAAATTCTCAAAGCAGTGCGTTTGTACATAGGTGCGTAAGTAAACCTGTAGCTAGGTAGGTATATGTATAGGGTATATAGGTGTTACTGCATGCATGTAAGTAATGTATTCATGCGTGTCAGCATGCATTCACATATGTATATGTGCGGGTATGACAAGCTAGAGGCTAGTAATTAAGAGACGGCAGGCAGATCAAGGCGATTGTGAGGACAAGAGCAACATGCAACAGTTCTGGCACCCCAGACACAAAACAAGGTAGCCCCGTGCTCTCTGCGAAGTGCCCATGTCCTAGCAGTGGTTGTGACAGTGGTGGTAGCAGTAGCAGTAGCAAGAGCGGAAGCAGCAGGAGCAGGTAGCAGTAGCCGTAGCAGCGGCTTCTTTCTTGAGCAGCTTTGTTCAGGCCGATGTCCGGATCTTCAATGCAGCCATCAACGCTTGCGCTCAGGCCGGTGAGGCCGTGCGAGCACTGCTGCTCTTTCAAGGCATGCCCGAGAGGGCGTTGGTGCCGGATACGATTACGTACAATGCCCTCATCAATGTTTCTTGGTACGTCTTGAGAAATGCGATTCCTGTTTCTGGTTCACAATCCTGTCCAAGAAATCCCTGCATAAAGCCTACACTCTAGACGCTAGACAGAAGGCAATATACGAAAACCGAGTACCCTAACCCTGATCTCGTTCGCACCACAGATAGGACTTATATACACATACATATGCCCAGACCCTCAACTCAACCCTAAGCCCTCAAACCTCGAGGGGTCCGAGAGAAATAGGCGCTCACCGAAAAACAGGGAAGCCCTAGCCTCTGATCTGCTGTCGCACTGCGGTGCGGGAAGACGTGAGGCTTGTGCCCGAGGAGGAGCCTGGGAGGATGCCCTGCAGTCTCTGACAAAGATGAAGGACTCATTGAGTAAGATGAGGGACTCATTGAGGGTTTAGGGTTTAAGGTTTAGGGTTACGGATTTACGGGTTTAAGGTTTAGGATTTGAGTATTTAAGGTTTAGAGTTTTGGGGTTCAGGGATGAGGGTTTTGGTACATTTTAGGGTTTGAGGGCTTATGGTTTAGAGTTGAGGTCCTAGGGCCTGTGGGTGCAGGGCTTGAGCGTGTAGGACTGTAGGGTTAAGGCTAAGGGGTTTGGGGTGTGAGCAGCAGTTGCCATGGGGGTGTAAGGGTAAGTTCGGGGGGTAAGTCCCCCGTATAGGAACCCTGAAGTCTTGTGGTGCCTTAGGACTTTGGGTTTCAAGATCTCGAGTTGAAGTTTGTGCATTTCGGGGTTTGATTGATTGACGAACCGCGAAGGAGCAGGGCTTGACTCCACAGACAAGAACCTACAATTCAGCCATCAATGCGTGCCGGGCCTACATGAGGTATTTTTTAATTAAGGGATCAGGGGTTTAGGGGTTATCTTCGGGACTGTCTCAACACTAGCTTGCTTTGGTGTTTTGGACAGATTATTTCTGAGACCCCTCGATGCTCAACTGCTCTCCCGGCATCTTTTGGCAACTAGTACAAGTGCGTTATCGCCACAACTCACAGCATTCGGCTTGCTACAAAATCAGCATACACTGTTTGGGACAGAGCTCTCACCCTCGCGCATGCTGAGGTGCGACAAAGCTTTCCGTGGCTACGAGACCTTGCTGATACTCGCATGCACTCAGGAAGTCAATCCAGCTTTTGACGCTTCGTCTGGCCATGTGCCAAGTTTCTGTCCATCGTAATTAGTCTGCGCTTCGTCACCTCCATCTCCATCTCCATCATCATGCTGCTGCTTCTGCTGGTGCATCCTGGTATCACCTTTGCTTGTGTCCCAGGCTGTTGGATGACATGCATGACCATGAGGCCCCGTCTGAGTCTGATAGCTAATTGGAAATGCCCTCAAGTCCGCGAGCAAATTTGCTGCGCAGGCGAGGCCCAATGCGGTGACTTATAACACCGCGATGAGTGCATGCTTGAAGGGCGGAATGCAGGAGGAGGCCGGGAAGCCAGTCTTCGTTTTTTGATTCAGTTCAGTGAATGTTGCAGCTGAATGCAACTTTGTGGCAACCCATTGGTGCTTGAAAAGATGGAACCCGTGAGAACGCCCGAGACTTGCAGGCTCGTGCCCTGCTCGAGGACAGCGGTCTGCCACTTGCTTCTGTTTTGCTACTCCACATTTGGTCCTGTGCATTTACGGCTTACAGGGCTAGCCTTGCTGCAATGTTCAGTCTGATCTCTGTACCTGGGTCGTTACCTTTGTGTTTTGCGTTGCAGCCTGAGCGGATCTTCGTGACGCCTACTGTGGCTCAAAGAGCAAACGTGCAGAGGGCTTGCAGCATGTTAGGGTCCTCGACAGGTCATTCGCAGGGCTACGGTTCTTGGTTCTTACTCTTCGCTATGCTAGTCGGCATCAACCCGCATACTCGGGTAAACCGCTGCTAGGCAGGACCATCATACCGCAAACCTCACCCCATCCCTAACTTAATCCCAATAGCCCTACAGCAATTCAGCCCCAAACCCTAAACTCCCCAAAAGACCGAACGTGTTGTACGAATGAAGATGCCTCTGAGCTCTTGGATGGCTTTGCGCCCCAGCTGAGGGAAGTGGAGGCTCGATCCTAAGCCACAACTCTGCATCCCAATTCCAACTAAGTCCTAGGCCGTAAAGGGGTGGGTTGGGGTGTCTAGGTGAAGTAAACCCCAATTTCAGATGGAGTGCAGGGCTGATTGAGATTTAATTACGGTTGACTGAACGCCAATTGAACGAGGTCTCGGTTACAGGGTGTTTGGGGTTGATGTTTTCCTATACCCTAACAGAGTTTCAGGTTTGGTTTCTCCAGCTTCGCGGCCGGCCCAAAACCCAAAATCTGTGAGGCTGGGGCCATGTCAAGCCGACCAGGTGTCGAAGCTCGCGCGCGCCCGAGAGGGCTTCGGGCTTCAGGGGTGTGGAACGCTCAAACTTTGGCTAGGCTAGGGCCAGGCGGTGTAGGACTGAGGGGTTTTGTGGCTGAAGCTTGTTGTTTTCGGGTTGGAAGGGGCCATCCAGGCAAGTTTGTTCCAAGAGCTGTAGAGCAGGGCGCTGATCGTTGGGATTCCGATGATACGTCCGACTTAGGATCAGTAGCCTTCTGCAAACCCCAATTTTGAGCATTAAATACATTGTGCACGGATTTTCAAGGAAAGGTCATGCATTTCACAGGATGACTTTGCGGTACTGTTGGTTGATGAACAGGTTCGAGATGATACGACTAAGTATGTGGTTGAATGCTACGTTGCAACAATCCGCCGTATGCCTTACATCCCAAATCTTGCATCCCTTGAACAAGCCGCCCTAAACCCATGGGCCCCTCTGAACCTTCGGCCGACAGGGGTGGATCTACCCGACGATCCGGAAGAAGCTCGCGTGAAGTACATCAAGCTCAGGCCGCTATACATATGTACACCTATGTGTGTGTATATATTTGTAGTATGTACATATATACATGTGTATATACACATATACACACACACATATGAATACATGTATACGCACGTAGATATCTGTAGAGAACAGCGGGAGATATGAGTGCACACTACATAAGTAAGGCACACACTGGCAACGGAATGAAGCCTAACCGAATGCGAGATAGAAGTATCGACCAGCAGATGCAGTTTTCCTGTTGGTATATCTTATCACGCAGGCGCACTCAAGCACATGCCTACGGTGTGTTGATCAACGCCTCTAACCTTGCATACATCCGGAACCGCCACAGCCTTAAAGCATACACCATACACCTTGATTCCCCTACTCGTAGTGGCCTAAGCCCTAGTGAAGCCGAGAGCCGAACCCTTAAAGCCATAAAATCTCTGAAGCCTAGACTGTGGCTAATCCCCAAACCCGGAGCCTACATCCTAGCGAATCTGCTCCAGCACGGATTCAGGCAGCTGGTACGCGAGACCTTCGAGAGCTTCCTCAGGAGTTTGAACTCGCAGCGACTGGATCGAACTGGCTCTAGTATACAAAGATAACTACAGTCCGTCCTTAAAATGTAAAATTCGACAAAACATGTAAGCCAATGTTTTTGCATACGGACATGAAGTATACATGTATAGCCATATGTACTTAAGCTATTACATATCATGGGGTCTTCGGGATGTCGGGTTATCCTGTCACGTCCTGAGGCCTGACCCTGAGTATTCGAGATCTACCCGTGCTTGTGGACATGGTGGGGCGGTAAGAGGTGTAACCGGTGTAACCAATGGTTTATATTTTTTAAGAAGTCCCCGAAGCAAACGCTTCATGAACCCCTGGCCATGAGCCCTCTTATGAACCCGGAAATCGTAATCTTTAAACCAGTATACCCCCGCCTTGACCCGGAAGGCAGTTGAGTGTCCGAGGTCGCTGCGCTGGCTGGAGCAGCAGCAGCTGACTGAGCAGAAATGTGGGGCAGTCGGGGTGTACTGCGTGGTACATGTGTCAGTAGTCAGCAGCTTGAGGTGAGTCACAATCTAGAGAGAGCCCGGAGGCTGCTGTACCGTATCGAAGGGTGCCAGTTCTTCATCAAGCTTTTAAGCGATTGTTTTTGGAATCATACTGCATCACCACGCTTGCCGCCGGTCTGTTGTTCCCTGATAGCTATAGTCCAGCCGCAATCGAGAACAGCGGCGGTTGCCTGCATTGGCAAAGGTTTCTTAACGCTGGCTTCTCGAATCGCTTGGCAATACAGCCTAGACACTGATCCCGCGCTTCGCAGGAGGATCGTGTCATCTGATATGCTCGTCGAAAGTAAGCAGATTCCGGAACTCTAGTAAAGCTCCTTAGTTTCTTGGACAGCTTCCAGGCAGCGATCGACCCGGACGGTTACTGATAGGTGAAGTCAGTTTGTCCTGGACGTGCGAACGTTAATCAAACAGGACTCTCTTCTTTGAGGTCTCACATGGAAGTCGATTCTTTGCTCAGGTTTGAAGACCATGGCGAGAAGCTGAACTCGGGGGAATTCCTGCGGATTTTCTCCAGAGCACTGCCGACAAAGTTCTTCTTGTGTTTTGTTTTGTGCTTTCCATTTCCATGCCTTTGGAATCAAAACCTAGACTAAGCTCCGAAACGCTGTGCCAGGTCTGCCCGCGCCTAGATTCAGCTGCCTTCCCCAAGTACGAGGAGCGAAAGCTCGTGCCGGACCCGGGCCATGATGTGTGCTCTTTTGGGTTGGGTATGGAGCCCCTTTATGCGTGCATGGATGTATGTATGTGTGAACATACATATGTATGTATGTGTATGTGCATATATATATATATAATCACGTGGACACCCATACAGTTTGTTCACAACATACAGCACGGAATTGTAGAGGGTTGGGCTCTCTGAATGAGTCACTTATACTGAACTTATACTGTTGGGTTGGCTGTGTGGTTGCTTAGTCGGTTCGTCAGTCAGTTAGGTCAGTCACATCAGTCAGTCAGGCAGTCAGTCTGCCGTAGCTGCTTAGCTACTTGGTTGCACCTACGTTGCATCTCAGGCGGTGCACCTCTCGGTTCTGAAGCTTTTCGAAGGCCGGTCGGTCGAATGTGGAGGAGGGTTGGCTTCGTGAACGAGCATTCAGGGTTTTGGGTGGCTTTGGGCTATTTACCCACTGCTCTGGGTCGCACACCACCGTTATTCGAGCGACCCTTGCGAAAACTGACTGCACCCGTTGCTCAGCGGCTTGTTCCGTGCATCAGGGTATTTGCTCCTGTGTGGATTTGTAAAACTTTGAGGTGTTATTGTTTCGTGGGACGTAGCGTCGGCGTCGCGGGCTTAGAGGTTGGAGGGTTTTGGGTTCGTTGGTCAGGATTAGAAAAGCTTGTGCATGGCTTCTGGTCGCAGGGATGGACGTGGACGAATCCGGTGAGACCTCCTGGATGGAGTTTGTTGAGTTCATTAGTGTCCGGAACCCAGTCCTTCGTCAATACGGCATCAGGCCCGACAGCTGCGCCCTGAGGATGCCCTGAGGAAGTGCGAGCCTGCAGGGGCAACTTGAGGCATCCGTTCACGTGGTAATGTCTTGATGTCGACGGGTCGGTCATTTTGGGATGGTTCTCCATCATCCTCGCAACGGTCCTTGCTATCATAAGCCCATGCTCAGTGAGGTAATCTTATAAGGAAGCCAGCGTGGAGCAGCCCCCCTTATCGAAGGAATAAAGCAAACAAAACGACCTCAAATCCTATAGTTCTTCCGGGGGAACTTGATCTAAGCTTCACCGGCAAGGAAAAAACAGTATGTACTGTATTCCCCTACTATGGTGACCTAACCTAACCAAATTAAGTTCAACCCTCAGGCCCACCCGCGAAGTTCAGGGTTTCACGGGACCCAAGCATACCCCCAATATTATATCATCAGTACCTACTCGTACCGTCATGATACATCTCTCTCGGTTTTTGGTTTTGTGGTTCAAGGCTGTCATGAAACAAGGTTCTTAGTCTTCAAACGTAGAGAAATACTACACCTGAAACCTCAAAGAGGATGCCGCTCTTCGGAGTCGCTTTCTGAGGCCGTGGCCGAGGAGCTGCGGTTGAAAGCTCAAGAGCTGCGACCTGGCGGCGGTTTTTTTTGAAGTTTTAGGGTTTAGGGGCTTACGGGTTTAGGGCAGTTCAGGGTTTAGAGTTTAGGGAAAGTTTAGGGTTTTGCTGAAACTTCTATGGGCTCACGGGCCTGTAGGGCTCGAGTTTGTGTTTTTGTTGGTGCTTTCGGATCCTCTGAGGGTTTAGGACATGCTCGGGTTTTAGGACTCTTGGGGCTTTGGAGCTACAGAATTTCAGTTTTTCAGGTTCCAGGGCTTTTGTTTGCTCTAAACAGTGGTGTGACAGGGTGAGGTTCTTACGTTCAGCGTAAGGCCGCCTTGGCAGTGTTGGTTCGATGTTGCGCCGCCTGTGTTGCGCAGTAAACTTGTTGGACGAGAATTTGTGCACCACACGCGATTCATCGTAATTGCCAGCTTGTCAGGGTTTAGGAGTCTTGGCTGGCATTTTGGTTTGAGGGTTTGAGGGCTTGGATGTTTTGATATTGGGGGCTCTGGGGTTGCAGGGTTCAGGGGTTTGAGTGTCTCGATCCAAGTGCGGTTTGCTTGTAGGGTTTGGCAAACTTTTAAGGTGTGCCGGTGTAGTTTTGAGGAGTTGGTGTCGGTTGCTTGCGTAAACGTCCATCTGGGCCACTCAAGACACCTCTTCTGAGGTAAGGGCATCAGCCCATGTCATGTGTGACCGATGCCCGAAACCACCAAGGCTTTCAAGCTGTCCAGCAGAGCAACAGGAGTTTTACGATTTGGGCTACAACAGGCACCCTCTCCTTCGACCCAGGGCCAAAAGCTGAAGCTGCAAAGCTCCACAGCTCTAGACCAACTTTTCCCGAACCCGCTATAAGCCCGTCAAACCCTTGGTGGATCAAGGCCTCCACAAAATCGTCCCTAAACTCTAAACTCCAAAGCACCGATCCAAGGTCTGGCCAAATCTTCGAGTTCCATACCGCGTCACTTGTGGGGCTCTCAGACACACTGGATCTGTAACTAAACCGGCAGCTCTTGCAATGTGTAGAAGTTCGAAGAAGGAACCAGACCCATGATGTTGGTGTAGTAAAATGGACCTAGTTTTAAAGACATAGAGATGAGGCAGACATCTGAACTCGCACCACCCCTGGTACATCGTTCCGAGCACCACCATCAGCTTCCCTGCAACCATCATCTTCATCTCAATCATCCACACTAAGGTGCGAGGAAAGGTTTTGAATCATTTGATTTGTCTGTTGAGGCTAAGGGTTGATGATGCTGCTTCCTCGTGTGCTGCGGACTCCTGCGGACATACCGTATTACACTCGATGTACTGATGTGAGAAGATCGAACCTCCCACACTACTGGCACTAAAGTCGGGGTTTTGGAACATTGGGAGCAAGAATCTATTCACTGCTTTTTGGGCTTTGGGGGACGTCTGCCGGATTAATTGGGTGTGCTTGGCCAGGTTCTTCCTAATTACAAGCCCACCATCACGAAGCCGTGAGCTGAGTCACAGCCGGCTACCGGTCTATGTGAGTTCGCTGTTTTGGGTTGCTTACCGAGAGCCGAGGTGCCATTTCGACAAGGTCTATTTCTGGCCGGAGCCTTACTCTGCCAACTCTCCTGGCTGGTGCTCGAAGTTGGTCAGGCCGAACCATCCAATGGAAAGTGCCATCGTGTTCGAGGAGGGTCAGGCGAGGCCACAGCTCCCGCACATCCCAACATGTGAGAGGCCAGCCTCCCAGCACGTCACGTCTTCCTCCGGAGGCAAGTTTCTTCCTGCACCGGCAGCAGACGATGCTGCGCCGGCGAAGCGCCCCGCCTAAAGAAGGGGATCCGAAAAAGCGCTGCTGCGGCTTCCACGACTGAGGAGTGGATGGCCATCAGAGCGACCTCCTCGCCGCAGCCTTCCTCTACACCGACAGGCTGCACTCTAGGGAGCTTTATCCTTCGAGTGGCTCCTGTACATTTCTCTGATGATTCAGTCCCCTGTAATAGCTGACAGAAAGCTGGCAGAGTCTTTGAACCTTCCCGACTTTCCTCTCCAGGGAAGATGCCAACGTCAACCTTGTCGTCACGTCTGGCAATGACAAGACCTTGTGTTTCTGGGACAGGGTCTCAGCTTCTCTCCGGCTTTCGCCTCTCAAGTTTCCTCGTGTTTCCTCAGAGCCGGGCTGGCATTCTGACCAAGGATGCTAACGCCTTCAACCTAGTGAAGCGTTGGAGCCGCGCCCCCACTGCACCAGTCAGCAGACACTTGCCGGCCTGTACGCAGTCTGGTGCTGAAAGTCTGCCTGCAAGTAGGGCCGCTCGCAGCCGTAGTCCCAGTCTAGCGACTGCCAGATGGTTTGCGAGATTTCACTTGTTAGGTCTGAAAGACGTGGTCGGAGAACTTTGCTGGTGTGGAGAGATCAATGCTTTGGCCTCGGCCCTCTGCCCGTCAGTGTGGTCTCTGATGGTCTCAGAGTCCGAGAGTCAACCGCAGAGGCTCTTATAGGCCCTAAAGCCCATCAGGGGATGTCAAGGGCTGTCTCGCATAGCTTGCCTTCTCAGAGGCTCTCTACGCCGCTGATCACTTCAGTGAGCGCTTCTGGGGATGGCTCATCAGAGACGAGCTGGAGGTCAAAACGCCGAGTGCCCCAGTGCTGTGCTGACCCGGAGACTCCAACGTGCTTCAAGTCAGGATACCTTCATGAGCGGATGCCAAGCAATAAGTTGAGGGAGAGTCCTCAACCAGTGAACCTTGCAATGTCAGGGTAGACGGCATGCTCCTGGGGGTTTCTGGAAAAAGCGTCTTCTAATTTTCTGCTGAGGACTGGAACAGGTGGCATGAAGCCCGACAAGAGCTTAGAGCGGAAGCCTGAGAGTTTGACAAACAAAGGACCGGGACCGCTGAGCCCATCGAAGCCGTTCCGTACAGTTCTGTCTTGTACTGTGCTGCCCTGCGCCCGACATCGCCACGACGCCAAAGCAGTTGGCTATCGCTGCGGAAGGATGCAGTCAGATAGTGAACTTGCCAGCCTCCCAGGTTCAAGAATGGGCACTCCAAGGCCATCCAAGTGCCGGCCTCGAGAAGGGGGAGCAGGCAGTCTGCTTTAGATTGAGTTCTGCTCGGAACTTGGGGCGTCGGAGGGAATCTCAGAGGAAGTGCTGTTAGTTGTTGCCGTCAAAAAAACGCCGGAAAATCGTACCAAATCCGTGTTGACCACGAAATGACTGAGCCCAGCTGTCTGCGTGAGGACAATCAGACAAGAGTTCCCGAAGGCCAAACCGATTGGACCCAAGGATCGTCTCAGGCCTATGTGTCTATCTCTCTCTATATCTATCCATCTATCTGTCTAACTAGATTTTGATGTAGATATACTGATGTGGATAAAGACATATGTACAGTTGCATAAAGATACATATACAGGTACATAGACATACACACACACACACACACATCTATGTCCCTTTCAGTTCGCTTCTTCTCGCTGAGGCCATGAAGTGGTTGGAGCCGCTCCAGTCTCATCCTCAGACTCGTCGCAGTTTTTCGCAGTTTACGGTTCTCCCGTTCTTGTCCTCGCTGTAGTGCCGTATAAGCAGTAAGTAGCTAGAGCAGCAGTGCGCCGACTGCGCTAGATCCTTATGCCACATGTCCAACTTGTCATTGTCGGGTTGTCACTTGTGACCACACTTCGTGCATTGTTGGCCCCAGAGGACTAGTTTTACGCATTTACGATCGGCTTGAGGCGATGCCAGTGCTGATCCAAGACTCTCCTCCCGGAGCCATGAGAAATCCTGAGAATAGTGCGCTACAGTGCTCGCCCTAAGGCTGCGACTGGCGTACAAGAAGTAGAGGGGTAGGCAAGTGACTGCGAGACTGCTTGCAATCTCTGAGCCTAAGGTGTTTGGCAACCGCCTCCCTGGACACCACTGTTCAGATCTTTGATACAGTCCAGTCGGGTCCCCACGACAGTCGGGCATGCAACTGGAAACTGCCATTGAAGTGTCACGACATGTCAATGCCGCAAGCAGTGCTTCAAAAGCGGATTTCAGCATTCGACTTCAAGTATGTGAGGGATCTCTGCTCTGCTTGAGCTCTTTCGGGATTCGAGGCAGACGAGGGCGCACGTGCTACAAGGCCACACCAAAGGCATGGGTCCAAGCTCGGGATGGGCCAGCTGGTCTTGTTGCCTTCCTCGCATGAATTCTTTTTCCGCCGCCCCTTTGATTCTTTCATCAACTGTCGCAGACCTCTGGTCCAAGAAACGAAGACAATTTGCACTTCCGCAGTTCAGCTGAAACCTTGGCTGTGCTTGGAAAACCTTGCCGAAGCTCCTGCACCAACGAAGCCTGCAGTGGGAAGACCGTTTTTCGGAGATGAGCAAAGCACTCTTTTCCGATGCTGCTTGAGCCATGGCGTGTCTGAAGCACCTGCGCTCACAGACGCGAGCCGTGTGATTTGGCACCTTGAGATGTCTTCTAAGGTTGTAGAGTCTTATAATCGTGATGGGATGCCCTCGAGCTGCCAGATTTCAGCTTTTCCCTTTGCTTGTCTTTAGCAGCAAGTACATGGGCAACTAGCCACCAGTATCCTCACCACTCGCCTGCATCTGCGAAGATAACAATAAGCACAAGGTTGAAAGCCTCCAGGGCGGGATGCCTGCCTGGGCGCCTACCATCTCCCAGTGCAACGACGCCGCTTGCTGGTGACAGAGAAGGCTGGTTGAGAAAGTTTAGAGCCACGGGCCGCGGCATCATACAGAAGTCTATATCTGTATCTGCATCTGTATCTCTACCAGTATCTTGCAGATCATACACACATAGCTCATGTACATGTACGTTCCACTTTCCAGGCACAGAATCCGGGTCGGATGCAGCCATTGCTTGCACCGAATTAAAACGTGTGAAAAAGGCTGGAGCAGAAGTCTGGGCTGCGCAGGATGATAAACAGCATTCCAGGTGTAACCCAGATTGCACTCAGCGTGTGCGCTCAGCATGTGCGCTCAGCATGTGCGCATGGCGGAGGGGATTGAACCGGCACAGTGACTAACAACCGTCCCCTCACAGCCCGTTAACCCAGCAAGAACAACTTCAACAACCATTGGAGCCTGGATGGCGACAAGCACCGATTGAAGCTTTCCCTCAGCATGCGCGACCATCTTCCAGCTGCGATACGTTTCAAGGGAATTCGAGCCCCCAAGGTCCCCAAGGTCATCAGTGAGTGTCATGAGCCGGCTGCATCGCATGGGGTGACGAATTGCAAATGCTTGCCTTCAAGCTGGAGGCTGAGTGCTGTTGAAGCCGTAAAAGGCCACCACCAGGGTCAAAGCAGTATTGGCGAACTCTGTGTAAGGTCGTCAGCAGCCGGGTTGCTTATAGGGCCTCAGCCTCCATGATGATGGCGGTTTCCAAATCCAAAGCGTCAAACGTGTCGGACCTGCTCTCCGACACACCACCCAAGCTTCGCATGTCTTCTGACTGCTTAGATTTAGACTCCCATGGTCCACACAGATGCTACCAAGATGACACGGCTCCCACGTCCCAACCCATACCGCTGCAAAACCAACTTCATCATGCAGGTCTGTGAATAGCGGCCTGTCACATCCTCTCGAGTGGCCTGGTCGTACAAGCACTTGAACACACTGAGTATTCCGAGTCTGGCGATCGCAGTGTGCATCCTTCACCAAGGGCTGCCATTTCCCTATCCTTGTTCAAAGTGCCGCTAAATCGGCAGCAATCTGAAGCTCGTCGCAGTCATTCGTCTCCGTGTAAGGCGTGTTCCCTGAAAGGCCATCGCGATGCACGTCAAGTGTCGATGTTCACATCTGTGGCATCTATTTATCCGCCAGGCTGTGGGCGTTCCCCTGCCTAGCAAGGCTATCTCATGAGAACTGGGGCTTCAGCTAAACAACCCGCTGGTGCGTTGCTCGATCCGAGCCCTTACATATGCATACACATATGCAAGTAGGTAGGTCAGTATGGATGCATGGGTGTTTATGCGTGTATGTACTTGTAGTTATATATCCAAGTATCTATGTATCTGCGTATACACTCTGCAAATTTTTAGAGACATGTATGGAGAGAGAGTGTGTGAGAGTCTCGCAGAGGTCGTTGGATCAGCGCAGATTCGGCCTGCCTTGCACGCATCGAAGTAGGGAAAAAACAAATCAAAGCTTCAAGCCAGAGTTTAGCCACGGTGCTGGGTGTCTAGGGCTTAGCATTAGGGTTTTGCACGACCGCCAAGTTCTCAGGAATCTGTGGGTGTCACATCAACGATGGTTCGGTGAGACGCCAACGCCCTCCCCGGAAGACCGCCACTGGACCAGTCTTGGACAAGTCTTTCGGAAGACTCTCGCCATCTGAGGGTCCTGTTCAAGACAAGAAGTATCCGCGAACTGACAAGTTCATATGCTCAGAGCCCCAAAGCCCTTCAAACTTAAGACTCAAATCCTAAGCCCTAAACCTGGATTCCTTCGGATTGCTTCCAAGGCGAGCGCACGGCGAAGAAGCCCGAGGAACCTGGGAGTTTCAGACACCGGGGAGGAAGGGTTTAGGGTGCCCTCATACCGAACCTTCAATCGGCAACGTTATTTGTTAGTTGACGGACCCCGAACTTGATATTCAGACACCATGCAATGTTCAAAGTAATCAGACTTTACATTACATGCTCCGTTGTAACGATGGAGTTGTGGTGACATTATGTGGCATGCTGCTCTGATGAAATCTGCTGCAGTGCGGATACGACCATGTACGACATACTATGTGCAAGCTTGCTTGTGTAGTCCTGCCTGCAGGCTCCTGGTAAGAAGGTCCCTTGACATGTTCTCCAGATAGATGCAGGAGGCAGCTCCTTCACAGACTGGGACCCCGGAAGATCCCAAAGTGGCCTGTCTGCAAACATATCGGGGGTTTCTTTAACAGAGGGATACCCGAGTTAGTAGTAACCATGATTAGGTCCAAAGCGAGAGGGTCTATTCTTGGGTCCTGTATTGTCTGAAACTCCCATGGCCCAGGAGCAGAAGAGCGAAAGTAAGAGCAAGAGCGATTCCGACGTCACCGAGTACAAAGCGCCCGGGATGCAATGAGAGGATCTCTCGAGACCTCCCGTGACATTTCACAGTTTCCAACCCTTAGCCATAAACATGGTCAGGTCTGTATTACTTCGGAGGATTTCTTCAACGTCTCCACGCTGCCGGTGCGAGCCGTCGTTCATCGCAGTGCCCTTTGGTTCGCTCCTCCTCCGCAGTGGGGAACCGGCAGAGCCATCAAGCCTGCCATGCCTTCGGTTTGGGGTTTTGAGTTGGAAGCACTGCTTCAAGAACCGTACGAAGCTACTTTACTAGCTTAGCAGCCGTCGTCGTAGTAGTGCGAGTAGTGCTCGTAGTACTACTACTGCTGGTAGCGCAGAGGACCTAGTAGCACGAGAAGTACTAAGTCGTATAAGTACCGGTCATCTGAGCTCCGAGCTCAGATGAACTTCATGTTCCCGCAGTTGGACCTGAAGTGGGGGCCTTTTGCCGAGGGCGCAGAGCAGGCACGCGGCGGGCCCGAGTTGAACCACTGCATCTGCAGTATATGCGTAGATATATGCACGTAATACGCAATATCTATACATATATATATATATATATGATGCAGGGCTGCCACACCCCCCCTCCCCCCCCACCCCATGGTATCCTCCCCCCTTCCCCCCCCCCTCCCCTGTGGTGTGGGGCCTGTGGTGGTACTCTTTTTGCCGCGACGTTCTTATGTGTTACTCCTTGTCTTCCCTCTTGCTGTGGCACCGGTGATACTGCTCATGATGTTGTGCTGCTCTAGACCGGGACATGAGTCGACAATCAGACCATGCTCAACAACATCCTTGTCGTCGTCATCTTCATCATTAATACCTTCAAAAGAATATCTGCCACCATCACCATCGCCATACAACCCTCATAATTCAGCATTGCAATTCATGTCAGATGCTGGAAACTACTGCGCCGATTGCCGCTTTCCGCACACGGCAGGGCATAGTGCGACACTCCCGATCCGCGCACAAGGTCAAGGGGCGGGCAAGGTGCGGGCCGGGGCGGGCAGGGCGGGTGGGCGTGCAGCAGCAGGGCAGCACGGGGGGGTGGGGGGGATACCATTGGGGGTGGGGGGGGTGGCGGCCCGGGACCCGAGAGCATATATACCAAGGTCTCACTGCTTTCGCTAAGATTGGTGAGGTTTCAACGAGCATTCCATAGTTTGGGTTTAGGGTTTGGAGTTTAGGGGAGCATTCGATCCCGAATTGAATAGGCTGGACTCCTTGACACGAAGGGAGCCTACGGCTTAAGGCTGCTTCATCTCGAACCCAGAGACCTAACCCGAAATGTCGAAACCTGGACCGTTAAAACATCAACCTTAATAAGGCTCTGCTAGTTCTAACACCGCGTGGGCGGCGGCTTCAAGCCAGAAAGCCCAAACCAAAGAAGCAAGGACCTCTGAAGCTTACGTTGAAGCTAGGCATCTTCAAAGAGGATTGGAATGTAGCGAAATAGGTGCCGCGGAGGGCTGATGCAGCGGCCCTCAGGGAAGAGTTCCTTAATGTAGGGGCCCTAAAAATTACCTATACTATCTTGGGGGTTCCTCATTATAACTATAGTATATTGGGCCCCCAAACCCTCTTCTAATTATTAAGGCCCCTACAGTAACAGCCCCTAAAAAGGCGGTTCGCTGTGTCTACGAGCTCCTGGGCCAAGAGAGCTTTGAGGAGCTGGATGGCCTGGTCACGCCGCAGCTTCTCCAGGCCAAGTAAGTCGGAGTTTCAGAATTCTAGGGTGAGAGGGCTTTGGTTTAAAACCCCGCTTGTTTTAGAATCCTCTAATTCTAGGGTAGACTACCATCTGGGGTCCCCTGGAATTTAACCGTAAACCCTAAACAACGCTAAACCCTAAACCCTATTAGGGATCTCTGCAGGATCCTTGGGTTCGGAGCTCTGTAGTCGGATCCTCCCCTTCTGTGAAACTCCCACATAAACGGGCTGGGGAAAGCAGGCATTGGCGCTTATCCGGGCTTTGGAGCGTCTATTTACTGAAGGGTCTCTACAGGGTTTGAGGGGGTTTTGGGGGCGATGTATGTTGTTCCGAACGGCCACTTGGTGGGAAGTGGTGCTGTTGCGATGCACCACAACTCTGGCAGTCCGTGTCTTCGTGAGCTCATCCCTCGACTGCTGGAAGTCCCCAGCCTGAAGGCCATCTCTGAGCCATGGCCCCTTCCTCAGAACATCGGCCCTTTTTCTTCGAAGGCCTATCGGACACCCTGAGCCCGGTGCGCTGAACCCTTAAACCCGGAACCCCCCCCCCTCCATCCTTCATTCCGCAAACCCGTTTTTTTCCCCAGGAGCTGCGAGACCAGAAGGGCCTCCACGGCACAGAGAAGGAAGACTGGGCGGAGCCGCCCAGGTGCCGAAGTGCAGGGTCCAATGCGAGACTCAACGCTCATGTCAGCAATAAGTAGTCGTCGTAGTAGTAGTAGTAGTAGTAGTAGTAGTAGCAGTAGTAGTAGTAGTAGTAGTAGTAGTAGTAGCAGTAGTAGCAGTAGTAGTCGGTAGTAATCATAACATCTCGTAATAGTGACAACCGCAGCAACAATCGTGATACTAAGAACAGTTGTACCGGCACGCATAACAACAATAATGATCACAACAGCAACGCCGGTGATGATGATGACAATGATGATGACAAAGATTCGTTTCTTTTTATCCCTCCCCCCCACAGAAGCCCGGACGCTCATCATCCCTTGAGCTTGAAGCCCGTACATCTGAGCATAACACACGGGTCGATCGATGTTGCAGGGCTGTGGTGACAGAGGTTAGGGTTTAAGGGTGGGTTAGGTGTTGGGGATGGATGGGGATGCACTCAGAAGCCGGTTTCCATTCAGAGTTGCTTATTGCAAGAGCTCACATGGCTCCACATGTTCGTCGGCCATCAGGCTAGAGTCCGTTGACGTGATGGCGCTGCTGAGCTCACGCTCATTGCAAGTGACTTTGCAGAAGTAGCCAGGTGAAATTGGAAGTGTATCTAGCCTAGGAGACCTTGGGATTTTGTTGCCGGGCAACCTTGCGACGCTGTTTCGACGTGTGGTCGGGTTGAGAGGGTAGTTTCGTCAACACAAGCTTCCAAGCATGAGTTCAGAGGTTCTTTCCCATACATCATTGCGGGGTCGCAACCTCTTATTTTGCCATGTTGGAGCCGCAGGCTGACAAGACTCTTTAGTCTCTGCACGTCCCAGGAAGAGGGTGCGCCGCCAGGGCTTGTCATCACTCCCTTGATCAAGGCCGGACCTCGGCTTCTTCTTAGCTGGCTGAAACCCAGCGCCCCGAAAAACTCCAAGAAATGCACTGAGTCGGTTTGGGGTCTCAGGTTTCGCTTGGTTAATGCCGTAGCATATAGTAACTTTTTGTTCGCGTTGCCCGTGTCTTCGTCTTCAACCTGTGCCAGGTGACGGAACGGTACCTCTACAAGGGCTCCGACAAACCTCGAGGTGTCATCCGTCTTGTGAAGCCAGGGGCTCAGCTGAAACCAATCCTGAGTCTTCTGGCATACGACCTAACAATATGGACAAGAGAAACACGAGCCAAACAAAGCCCCAAACCCGATTTAAAGCCCATAATAGGCCAGAGCCTGAACCCTACACCCTCATCAACTTGGATCCTATCCCCGCCTCCAGCACAGCAGCCTGCTTGTCTGTTTCAGGTGGGAGTTTGAGACCCGCATCCTCAATGAGGGGGAGGGAGGGCCTGCTCAGTGGGGCTCCTCTGGATGGCAAATTCGACGTCTGGAAGAGCCATGGTACCTTGGCTGCCTTTCACCTCATCCTGATTGCTTCGTTTTGCAGAGGAAGCTTGCATTACCACATCATTCTTTATTCAAGTACCCCTGTGCACGTGTTCTTGCGAGTGTCTCAGGTTTATGCCAAGAGCGATGGTGAAGCTTCCTGGCCGGCTTTTTCATTCTCAGACGTTGGGCAAAGTGGGGAGTGCTTGAGGAAGCGTGCAAGAGGCAGTAGCGTCTTTGCCCTTTCCGCCTTTAACTCTTAAAACTGTCAGCGCTGTCTTTATGTGCCCGCACTTCATTTCCCAGGTTCTGACCTCCAGCGCCAGACCCGCAAAGACGCTGCAAAAAGCACGGCGTCCGCGTGTGTGTGTGTGTGTGTGTGTGTGTGTGTGTGTGTGTGTGTGTGTGTGTGTGTGTGTGTGTGTGTGTGTGTGTGTGTGTGTGTGTGTGTGTGTTTGTGTGTGTGTGTGTGGGAGCCCGTTGCAACAACCAGAATAATGATATTAAAATAGTAAATAGTAGCGATAGCAATCATGATCAATGATTTAATGGTAATGTTAAAGCCACCAAGAGGTTTCCACCATGAGCTCGAACTGCGGCGGGCCGCATCCTTTTGCGGACTGCGTGGAACCATCCACCGAACACTCGAGTCTTCAGATCCCTCTGAGACCGAGCGAAGCGGGCTCTCCCAGGCATCACCTGCCTGGAATTCTGCGGGAAGAGCCAGATGCTACTAAGCGCCGGCTTCGAGACTCGATCCGCCTGTATGAGGGATTCTCCAAGCAGTTGGGGTTTGCGGTTTTCGGGATGCCAAGACGTGTCCAAATCAAGAAAGCGACTGGGTGGGTGTGATTTTGCAACCCCGAAACCCCAGCAAAGGACAGCTACATCGCCATTTGGGACCCAAGCGCCACGCCCTCAGCGAGCTGTTGCAACGAGTGCTACGGAAAACACGGCCAGTACTGCTGAAGGCAATGGTAGGGCTTCGGGTTTAGATGGGTTTAGGAGCGTTTCGGAAATGGACGAAATACGATTGCTCCGCAAGTCCCCATCTGGCGTTTGAGCTCTCGAAAAGTACTGCCACGAAAATCGAGGATTCTTCAATACAGGGTGTAAAGACCTTTAAACTCTAAGCCCAAAATGTGGGGTTGATACTGTTGCACGGAGTCTACATGGCCCAGATATGTGCGGCTTATGCATCACAACTGTACGCACAATAGCCCGTTATGCCCACAGGAAGAGCACACGCAGAAAAGTTGGCTATTGAGTTGGGCACTTGTTTCTTCAGAGTCCGCTAGTCGTGTCCACCAGCCAGAGCTTGATGTCGAGAGATTCTCGTAAACCTAAGAGCCTTACGTGCTCTACTAGTCCTGCCCTTGTAAGAACTTATAAACCGTAAAGCCTATAGCTCAAAACCCTGAACAGCATCTAGGAAGGAGGGGGAGGCGAGGGGACGGCAGCGACGACTGACAGGCTGGGACGCTCTCATTCAAGTTGCCCGCTTCTTAGCAATCAGTCCTGTTGCTTCGACTATACTGGCCGAAGTTGATATTTCGGCAAGTTCCCTTGCCAGCCGAGATACTTGGCTACCGAGGACAGGACACGAATGCAGTGTCACGGGCTTGTGCAAAATGCCTGAAACTGACTACGAATTCATGAGTCTGGGGCCCCGGCGACTCTAGCTATCTGGTCTCTGCGCAGTGGCTTTGGCACCTTCGTCTAAGGTGTCGACTTTGACGGGGTTGTAAGGCTTTGGGATGTGCGCCCGGTGCTGAGCTTGTCTCTGACATCGAAGAAAGGATCCCTGCACTTTGCATGGACCCCAAGTTCCCCGCAAAGAAACAAATCCAAAGCCTCCGAACCTCTGTGGCCCCCAACCCCTCACGCTAACAAAGACCATGCTAACACCCTGATGCCTGGGACCCTGGGAGCCCTACACCTCCTAAACTTCAGGTCGACTTTGTTGCATTCAAAGCTTTCATGCGACCGACCGTCGAGCAGAGGAGGCTTTCGGCTTGGGATCCCTCCAGCTTTTGGAATTCAGCGAGGTTTTGGGTTTAGGGTTTCGGGTTCAGGGGTCGCCATACTATGGCTTTTTGTTACAGCTTAAAGGGATGATATGAGAATTAACAATTCGAAGAGGGTTTTGGGGGTTCCTTATTATGATCATAGTACAAGATACCCCCAAGCCTTACTCTAATTAGAGAGTGCAAAAGCCCAGGCCCCATGACAGTCCCTTCTGAATTATTAAGGGGGCCCTCCCCTGTTGCCTCTCTGTGGCGTCCTCTGTAAGACGAAAGGCCGGCGAGCTGGAGCGCCTCGAGCCCCGGGCCCTCTGCCCGCTCAGCGGCCTTCTCAGTCTGTCTGATTCAAAGGTACGCGCTTGAAATGGCTGATGGCAGGACAGTGCGGCATACTGTAGTATAGTATATTATACAGTAGTATAGTATAGTATTTTTTTGTATTGTATAGTATAGTATGTAGTTCATACAGCACGGTAACGCATACTATACTATGTGGCATCGAGGGTGCAGGCGCGGCAAGTCTCCGACCCACTGTCTCGCGAGGTCGCGACCGTGTGGTTATCTCAGGTCGCAGGCCGGATGCTGAGCGAGATGGCCTGCGCACGCAGAAGCCTTGCACAAGCACACGCCGTGATTGGATTGGGTTACACCAGGGCATGGTAAAGGCGGATTTTTTCAAGTCCGAAACCCCCAATCAGCCCCCAAACTCCCGACTCTGGGAGCATTCGAAGATCAGATGTCAAGGATCGTCGTCTTCGACCGAGATGCCGGTGACCCTAAGATGACCTCCGACTGGCCTATCAACGCTTTGGCCTCCCTTCCTCGTATTCTCTTCAAAGCAGGTGTTCAAGAAGGGCCTGAGGGTTTAGTGAAGCTATCAAAGTTCTGGAGGGAGCTTGCGGCCTGAAGGCAGGTATTGCTTCTGCTGATGTTCAAACCAACATGCACCTGAAAATGGGATTGCTCACCTGGCAGAGCGACATGTGGCACGAGCAATGAGCGTTCGAGGTGCATGCCTGCTAGAGTCATTGTTGTTGCCAGGCATTTGATCACAGGCAGGGCGGGCGGAAGTGCTGTGCCCGCCTGTCGGCCGACAATCCGGTGTCGAGTACAAGCCATGGCTGCTAGATCTGGTTTTGGTCAGTTCTACCATGTCAGATGTTGTTTCACTGCCGATGCAGCAGCCAGCGCTTGCACTCCCCCACTGAAGCCAATGTCTGTGCTTCTGCCAAACTTTTACCATGACATGCTCCTTAGATCCGGGTGTTTTGTCTTGGCAGGAACTTGGAGATTGTCACTCCCATCAAGAATGACCTGTATGTATGGGATGCTGGAGCCTTAAGCACCGGATGCACTTCTCTGAGTTGCTTCCGAGCCGAGGCCTTAACCGGTCAAAGGCTCCAGATCCATGACAACGTCATTGATGCCAACATCACGGCTTCTGTCTGAGTGAGGGCGGGGGGGTGCATTAAGTCTTGGTAGTCTTGGAACTGAATGTTCGGTAGCTATCTTGGTGTGCTCTTTTCGTTCAGCAAGTTTGTCTGAGGGAAGGAGAGTAGACAGGAGGCAACACAACGAAAGCCCCAGTGCAGAGGCCATCTGCTTTGGAGCCCGAGAGCGACGCATCTTCGTCGGAGATGATCAAGGGAGCATCAACTGCATCAACGCTGTGCGAAGCCCAGTTGCAGGGAGGCCAGAATTTGTAGGTTCAGCCCCGCGAAGCATCCCAGAACCCGTTCCGGAAAGCCTCTCTTGGACATAATTAGCATAGGGGTCTTAATGATTGGAAAGGTATGCCTTCGGGAACCTGATTCTATCGGTTGAGGCCCTGCATATTGGGTTTAAGTTCACCAAAGCAGGCTTGAACAAACACATAGGTCATAGGCCCACATAGGCCCTAAAGCGTCGAAAGCTCTCAGGCTTGCGGCGCACAACTTAAATCGCTGACTCCGCATGCCTATGAGGCCTGGATAGATGGGGCTGTTGGGGGTCATGGATTTATATTGGGGTGGTCTACAGGTTTCAAGATATTTGGGGCTTGAGGGTTCAGGGTATAGGTTATAGGTTTACGGCATTAGGGATGCGAGGTTCTCCAGTCCTCTGTGTGAATGTCACCTCACGGACCCAGAACTCTCCTTCGATCCCTAGAGACCTTAAACCACATCCCAAAGCGCAGAGCCCCCGACTCTGCTACTGTCATCGGCTATAATATAGAAGCCCGAATAATTGCCAACACTACTCTTAATGACTGCTGGTTATCATTACATACACCATTTGAAAGTCAGAGTGCGTTCTAGGCTGCAAACGGCGCACATGCTTGCGCGAACCTTATGCGCGGCTTGCGCCAAATTTACGCTGCCCCCCCCAGTTTCTGGACCGACCCCTGGACCTACGCGAGAGATGTGCTGTCATGCAGTGATGCCACCGATGCGTGTCCTGCGTGGATCCTTGCGAATCGAGCATCTACACCTACATGGGGGCGGCTGGTTTGATGTGCCGTGATGCCACCGATGCGTGACGTGTTTTGCTTGCGAAATTGAGCGTCTATGCGGGGAGTGGCTGGTTTTGATTTGCATGTCATGCTTCCCGGGATGTAGGAGGCCATAACGGAACCCTCGGCGCGGTTTTCCAGTTCGCTATCCCTTGCGGGAAGCCTTCGCGAAACAGACCTCTGTTTTTTTTCAGAGCCTCAATCTATCTCCAACGTGACAATCCTCAAGATGTAGTGAGTTTTGATGACGAATGTTGCATGTTAGGAGCCTTGAGTGAGTGCCTCGGGACTCATGGGTTCTGGGTAATCTTCTTGACATGTCGTGGTATGGGGTTGGGACATGACCGGCTGATTGTGATCTGAAAGCACTTTCGCACTTTTGATATAAAATACCAGGGAAACCCTGTTCTAATTATATTTTCAAGCTTCTATATCACCCACGAAGGTTGCCCAGATTGAGTGCATGCCCGGGAAAGTGCTGACGCTGTCCGCCCCAGAGAAGGCGTTGTGCTTGGACACGCGAGACCCTAAGGCCCCAAAGTAGGTCCTTTTTGATACTCATATTTAGAACTCCATAAGGAAACCCCAAAAAGGAACTCCTATGGGGCCTATGGGGAGTAGGATGAGTAAGACAAGCAAGAAGGAAAGGACTCAGATAGTAACTAGAAGTAGCACTGATCGTAGGCATGGTGGTGCCCTGACCCTCTGGGAGCCCAGTAATATGCTGTAGGACGAAGAAGTCATACTTGCTGGGCGACTTCAGGGCTGCCCAGGCATTGACAGAAGTACACAACGTGAGAGTGGGATTTATTCGATAAAAAGAGAGAGAGAAGAGAGCAAGCCCAGATTGCAGATATGGCCCAGGTCATCAACGTCCATGATGCGGCTTGCCTTTGAAGTCCGATACAGATCAGCGGACGGCCTTCAGCACATAGTAGTATGCTCTTGAGTCGAGGACACGGACGAGAAGAAGGCCATCCTGCTGAAACGCATCGATGTCCTGAGCTTAAGTCGAGGTTAACCACTTTCCGACCTCCCCCTCCAAGCTGCATCAAAGGGGTCTTTGACTCGTGGCTTAGGGACAGCCTGCTTCCTTCGGATGCCTTAGGTCAGTGGTGCTGGGGTGATCCTGAGGCCGGGCATGACTTCAATATTACTATTACTATTACTTATTACTATTACTATTACAAGTTTGCTTGCTCTGGTCGGAGGTTTGCGCATGACGAGCGCGAGATGCTCGTCATCTCCACCGAGGAGGGAGAAGTGGGCTGGTGGCCCGACTGCACTCATCGAGATAGTTAGAGGGCTCGGAGAACAGGCCACCCGAAAATCGGGGCCTTAATGAGCAGAATAGGGATTGGGGGGTATGACTATAATATCACATTTATACTAAGGAACCACCAAAACCCTATTCCAATTATTAGGGCTTCTATATTAAACTCCTAAGCCCCAAACTCCACCGGCCATGGCACGCGAGGTACAGCGCCGATTTTGCCAAGCAAATTGCAGATACCAGCCAGTGCGCGGTGAATCATTCACAGGCCAGGGTTTCAATGAAGGAGATCGCATGTTCCGCCCACCCCCCTCCTCTTCCAGAACTCATCCGAAGATGTGGTCCGGCTTTGAAGGCCGTTTCCTGCTGCTACTACTTCAAGAATGCGCCTCTCATTGTGTCCGCAGATGCAGGCCGGCATCTGCAGTACAGTGAACCCCTAAACCCTAAGGCCGAAGCCGAGTTTTCCATGTCAGACCCCTGGAGAGGCTCGGCGATTTTCTGGTCCGTGCCTCCCCTCAGACCCTATGACTTCTTCTCAAAGTGTCTCGGCAAGAAGCAGCTCCTTTGTGTCTGATTTCCCAAAAAAGGAAAGCACCCTGAAGCGGCAAATTAGTCATCGCAGAAAATCCAAGCCGAGGATCCTCTTAGATGTCACCGGCGACGAGGCAATGGTCTAGATGCCAGTTAAAGTCAGCGGGTTTAGTTAGGGGTTTGAGGTTTTCAGGATGTAGGGCTGCCGCAACACGGGAAGATAATTGTTGTGAAGGCGGTGAGTTGGCTCATTGCGTGAAAGAAGACGCTCATTGGTTCGACATTTTGCGAATGCGGGTCACGACAATCGTGACAATAACCCTAAACCCTCAACCGACTGGACCGATGGCCTCTTGCTGCCGCGCTTGAGGAGGGGACGGTGGCCATCACATCGATGAGCCGGAAGCCAAGTCACTTGTGGAAGTTGAAGCTTCTGGGGTCCCAAACCCCAAACTCTGGGCCCCAGGCAGATCCGACCAGATCCCGCCTGCAGGTCTTAGCTGGCCCGACGAGGGCCGACTCTTCGTGGGCACAGACCGCGGAGGCGAATTCGGAAGTGTACAAAATCTTGTTGGATTTGTCCAGCTGGTTCTTCACTGTTCGTGCCAACTGTAACGCTTGAAGCTTCACACCTCCGGCTGCACTCTGTACTTAAGCCCTAATCCTGTAAACCTAAACCCCAATGCTGTTCTCGCTGCCAGCTATAGCCTCCATCGACATCTCGATGGTAGTGGAGAGCGCCAAGCAGCAGCAAACCGAGATCCTGCGGAGAAAGGAGCCCGAGACCCAGAGCTCTTACAAGAAAGGGGCCTGAAGAGATACCAACAGTAATAGTTTTAAGGGTTCCTTGATGTGACTGTACTATCATATTCTACACTTCTGATTTTGGCGGCTTCTTGTTTGGTTTTGCAATGCTCTTGTTCGCTTGGTGAGGTTTGTATGGGCTTGAGGCTGTCGCTGGTTCTGCCAGTTTTCTTTAGGTTGGACTTGCTCTGCACAAAGATTAGTTCCCTCGGTGGAGCCATTTGTGATGACAATGAAGAGGCAGTGGTAGGAGCAGTGGCGGTACTACAGCACTAATACCAGTCTTGATACAGGTTGCAGCGATGTTCACAGCTTTGGGTCATGATCGTCATGTAGTCACCGTTGCCAACACCTTCTGTTGCCTTTGTGATGCCGAGAAGTGCAGAAAGGTCTGGCGAAGCGGCGGAAGTCATCTCTGGGCGTATCTTCGATTCGCTGCCGGCTACTCAGAATCTACAAGCCAGGCATCCTAGGCAGGCTTCTGAAACGCATACTAGGGAGCATCCCAAAGTTAAGCTTTCTCCGAACTTTCAACTTCCTCATAAGCACTGCTCGCTGAGATGAGCTGGCTTCGATCGCCCTATGTTTTCAAACTTCTTCGCATTTCTTACGGTCAGCTTCATCGTTAGTACTATTATTATTAGTATTGTTATTAGTAGTAATTAGTAGTAGTATAACTTATAACATCAGAGCCATCCGCCTCCTGGGTTCGAGGCCTCGTCCTGTTAACTCGCCGGCCTATGTCTTCGGCCTGGATAATCTGTGGCTGGCCGCAGCCCAAGGATAGGGTTTGGCACCGTTTAGGGGTGAACGCTTGGGGTTTCCGTGGTTCCGGGGTTGAGTCATTGAGGGGTCGTAAGGCTTACTGTTGAGAGTTTGGGCTTCTGGCGGTGGAAGCTGCGCAACGCAACGTTTTTTCGGTTCAGAGTGCTGCAAGAACGGAAGGTACAGTACGTAATGCTCTGATCTTCTACCAGTTCTACCATATAGCAATTTCTACATCAATATTCTGGAATATGGTATATTATGACACAACAGGCTCTAACACAGCAGAGTATCTGCCGAGGTGGAGAAGGCACATGCCATGAACGTGGAGCAGATCTTCTTCTGCTGCAGACTCAGACCGGTCGACACTTGAGGACCTGTTACTATGCTACATAATATTATTATTGCTATTATTACTGTCATTATAAGTAATAATCATAATAACAATAATACTAATACTAATACTAATACTAGTACTAATACTAATACTAATAATCATAATCATAATCATAATCATATTAATAATAATATTAATAATAACAATAACAATAATAATAATAATTGTTATATATGTTACTGTGTCATTAATAATATTGCCATTCTTGTTCTTACGTCGTTTCACTGCAACGCGTGTGAAAACGCAGCAGTGGAGTTCCGCCCTGGAACCTTTTCGTCATATACTATATTGTTATTGTTTTGTGCAGGAGAGCATCACATACTCTGAACCGTACAAGCCTTGAGCCCGAAAAGCCCCAAACCCCGAAAGCCTGAAACGTGAACAGATGAACGACCGCAAAACTTAAAATTCCCATATATACCCTAAAACACAGGAAGTCTTGACAGCCGCAAAACCCAGAATCTCAGGTAGGCGCCAGCCTCCCGTGCTCCTTACGCTTGGCGCGGGCCTTGCAGGGTCCAGGCCGGAAGGCGTAGACAGCCTATGTGGGGTTCTAAGGTTGTAAGGTCTGAGGTCAGGGTGAACAAGACTGGGGCTTTCTAAGCGGTTTAGTGTTGTAGCGTTCATAACAAGCTTTGTGGCCGACAAACGGCAAACAAGAAGCAGGTTTGCCTATGTGGTCGTGGGGCAGGCTGAGAGAGGAAGGGAGGCCCTTCTTGAGAAGATAAATTGATTGAGATGGACCTTGCAGTATAGCATCTAATCCGCCCAAACTGTATTATGATATTGTGCTTTCAAAATACTCATTCATTAGTTTGTTTATTTGTTTGTAGGCACATACATGTCCTCTATTGCATGGTATGTATGTATGTATGTACGTACGTATTATGTTGCGTGTAGGTAGGTAGGTCGGTAGGTATACAATGGAAGTATGTGTGTGTATAACTGTATGTATGAATGTATGTAGGTAGGTCATGCATGTATGTATGCATGCATAGTATATATGTATGTAGTAGTCGCCCTTTGCTAGACCTGCAAGACCGTTTGATAGCCCTTAAAGAGCATTTATAGACCGTCAAAAGCCACCTCCTGTCAAGTCAAGGCGGGGAGGCGTCTGTGCGACTCTGGGCACGGAGCTCAGATGTACCGAGTACCAAGGCCTTGCTTACCCGAAATTCGCCATGGTCCATTTCACTGCTTGCTTGTGGTTATAACCAGGTCGTCGAAGGTCTGGCTAAGTAGGGTTACAAGGGTGCTCCTTGTGTTGATCAAGCCCTAAACAGCAAACCCCAAAATCTACTCGGATACCAACATCTGCAGCTCTTACTCCAACCCCGAAGCGCTAAACTTAAGCACTGAAGCCCCAAGTCCCGTAAAACTCACTCTGACATCAGAAACCCTGTAAGCCGCTACCAAAAAGCTGTTGAACCCTAGAAGTCCCTACAAGCCCCCCTAGCTCGAAAGGACCACGCCACCGGCCAAGCCCTGGGAACCCTGGAGCGCCTTGGCTTCGATGGCCTAGGGCACAGGAGACCGCTGCTGGCTAGAACTACGGGCTTAGGGTACGTGATGGACTGGCGGGGGCATTCATTCTTTTCTATGTTTCGGGTTGACTGTTGTTGCACTTGGCTACTTCTCTTGGATGTCAGCCGCTAGCCGATGGTTGCGGAGTTTGAAGGCGTTCAGGGTGAAAACTTTAGATGATTGATGCTTGTGATGTGCCTCCCGACCCTGTGCCGTTGCCCTGCCGGTGTAGCGTCAGCGTCGAGCAACTAGGAGTAACATTTGGCAACGTGTTCAGGCATGTCATATGATGCATGCATAACTGTTTACGTGAAGTGCTGGTGTTCACGCAACCTGAACACCGAAACTGCCTAAAACCGTACCCTAAGCCTTGAACCCTGAATCCTTATGTACATATATATATATATATATGTGTGTATGGATGGATGGATAGATGGATAGGTAGATAGACACATGCATCTATATGTATATGTATATATATATATACATACACACACATCTCTGTACATATACAGTATTTCTATATCTCAGTCTCAATACATATGTATGTCTCAGTCTCTGTGTTATCATAATCCATCCTGGCCAGGCAAGGTCTTCCCGAAGGCCTCGTGTATCAGCGCAGCACGGATTGGACCTTTCCACTGGATCCTCACCGTCAGGCTTGCCGGGGAGTGATCAAGACGTTTTTTTTCTGATTTGAGGTTGAGGGCCTTAGTGGTTTTTATGGTTTGGGGAGAGGAGATCACGCAGCAAGCCAGCAAACACCTTTTTGGGGGTTTCCGTACTCGAGCCAGATCCAATCCGACATCGACACCTTGGCAGAGGCGGCAGAGGCCCATCCGATGTCGCCGCCACATGAATTGAGCTCTTCTGGCATCACAGAGACTTCCGCGAGGAAATGTACAGCAATGTAGAGTCACACCCTATGATGACTGCCCCGGGGATCGCATGCCTCTGCTCAGTTAAACGAAGACACAGCCAATGATCCCACCCGGCGGCCGAGCAGGACTGGGCCGGGGGATTTTGCGTTGACTTGCCCAAATCCCGCTATTGCCTGAGTCTTTACGAGATCAGGACCTTAGGAGCCGACAGCTCGATGTACTTGAAGGGGCCAGGACCCCAGAGTTGGAAACGAGGGTCGAAGGTGCCATGAAGACGACTCTCTCTACGGTGTCCCTTTCCGCTGCCGCTAAGGCAAACTGGCGAGAGGCCGGGCGCAGACATGTTGTTTTGACATAGGCGTTCCCAGGTGTAGAGCCAATTCTGCATGCACCCCTCTGACAACCCCGAAACTCTGAACCCTAAACTCATATTCACTCATATATTCTTATATATAACATAATATGATATAGTAGAATATAGACAGTGAAATATATTGATTATAGTATAATATAATATAATATAATATAATATAATATAATATAATATAATATAATATAATATCTCTATATATATATATATATAGATACATACATACATATAGAGTTATATTTGTATTTCAAAGCCTGAAATCCCGAAGCCAGCTTTCACACGATACGTTGTGGGAGGATCCTGAAGCTCGTCCAGAAGAGGAGGATCGACGGCTCGCTGCTGGCCTTCAATGACGGATTCGCCTCCTTATGCCTGCTAGGGTTTTGGGTTTAGGGTTTACAAGGGTTTACGGTCCATTTTAGGATTTTGGGTAAGGCGCTCGAAGGCGCATACATGGTTGGATCACAGGGGTAGATCCGTTAGCAAGTTGAAGAACGGCCACCGAAATCGATAACAGTGGTGGTGATAGTAGCAAGAGCAATGGCGATGTGAGTTGATCAGTGGTGATCGTGTTGGTGCCAATAGGAGCGGCTACTGGCAATAAGTCGAACGAGGATGATGGGCATAATTTCAGGTTTCACTACGAAGTTAAACACCGAAGCCAAAAAACACAGAACCAGATGCCCAAACCCTAGATCCTGAGGCCACATACTTACACTCCGACGTGAAACCTGTTTAATGGCCGACGGACAAAGGCGCCTAAGCCTTAAACAGCTTGTCTACTCATCCTTAGAGCTAGGATCCTCCGGAACAAGCGAGGCTGAATCGGTCGACTTCCACTCCCGACATGGCTTGGGCCGCAGTTTATGGAAAAGGCTGCTGCTCAGGTGCTTGGGTTTTCTGGGGTTGGGGCTTAGATTCAGGGTCACGGTCGGCAAAAGCAGAAGTTACTGTGGCCTCGTATGAGTAGGGCTTTGGCTTTTGCTTTAGTCATTGACTCAGGGGCCTTCGGGTGAAGGTTTAGGATGATCCGGCGTGGTCCAAGGTACAGTCGAGTGCCGGAGGCAAGCTTGCGGCTTAGATTCCTCAGGCTCCAAGTGTGACATGGACCGCACCCTCATTTAGACGCAGCTATCTTGCTTTTGTGTTGGCCTCAGGTTGAATTTGCTCGGTCCCGGCAAGGTCCGTGGGCAGGACTTCGCCGTCTTCTGTCTTGAGTCTGCGACATTGGCAGCCGGTGCACATTTCCCGGAGCATAGGTGTCGGAAGAGACGGTTTCGGTTGTCTGCTTCAGGCTCGTGCCTGGCATGCTCGATGTTTTCCCGCGAGGACTACACCTCCGTTTCTGCCAAGTACTTGCAGTCAGCAACTTAGCTACTGGTAGCTTTGCGCGGATTTCCTCTTCCTTTGCAGTCTGCATTCTCTCTGCTCCTGCTGCAAGAGAGAGTGTCGTTCCTCTTTTATGGTGAGCATCCATCAGCTGCCTTTGTGCACCGTGTTCTGAACCTCAACGGAGTACTGCAAGTCTCGATGCCGACTCAAAACTCACAATGAAGTTGCAAGGCCACTTCAGCGAAATCGCATGACGCAGCAGAAGGCCGAGGCGTCTGCAGTCAGAGACGGGACACCGCGAAAAGAGGGCTGTCATAGCATCGGACCCTCTGGACTCCAGACGTCGGCGGTTCCAGGACGGTTCTGGTGGACTCGTTATCGCTGTCGCGATCGGTACAGGATTTTGCTTATCGTGAGCGCTTTCTGCTGCTGCTGCTGCTAATGTCGGTGGTGCCGCTGTTTTTGCTGGTGGTCCACTCGACGAAGCTCAGATCTTTCGCCGTGCTTCATAGATGCAATGCACGCATGCATGCATGTACTTAGGTGTTTGTTTATGTCGGCACGATCGAAAATAAACCGGGACAGCTAGACTAGCAAAATGACTTTCTACGGGCGTTCGATTCAAGACCAAGGAACGGAAGAATGTAGGATACTTGTATCAAAATGTAGAGCCACTTCAGCGTAGGGCAAATGTTGGCAGATCGACAGGACTGGTATGCGGGCTCTGCGGCCGGCAGCGTATCACTGCCAAAGCCAGCACCCCAATCGGCGTACTTACGGGGCCTACATAATTACCAATACTATTTCGGAGGGTGCTTATGACAATTATAGTTTAATGGGCCCCCCCTAAACCCTACTCGAATTATTAAGGCCCCTGTATCAAGGGTTGAGGACAAGTTCAGGAAAGGCGACGAGGCTTCTGGAGACCAGGGATTGGACTGTAAATCATTAGGTATCGCAGCCGTCCAAACCTAGCTGCCAGTGTATCCTCGATTACTTCTCAGATTCTTCTTTAGAGCTGGTTTACCCCCGAGGCTTCAGAGTGGAATGGCGCGGCCGACACTCTCAGAGACGAAGCAGGTGCTCGATGCTGCTTGGGGCTGAGTCCTTCAGCTGCTTCAAAACATTTCCACACTGTACAAAGCAGCTTTGGCCAGTGCCGAATGCGCTGTGACTCAGGCACGAAAACTGGCCATAGCCCTGGGAAGCTCTCGAAACAGCCACCGGGCTCATCGGAAGTTCATTTTCTTCTGAAGGCTGCGAAGATCTTGGGTGCAGCAGCCAAGGGTTTTCCACTCACGCTGGGATTGGCCTCTTGAGCGTTGGGTGCGTTGTTGTTCTAAGCTGCTGGCGTTGTGGTGGTGGCAATCATCGGGACGAGCCCCAGTAGTTAGTAGCTAAGGCAAGGATGCGCGATCCTGAGCATGTTTCACTTCCGCACTGCGCAGGCCAAGCTTCAGTAGAAATCAGGCAAGGGCAGCCTTTCTGGCAGAAGCGAGCTCGCTTGGCCTCGTGGTGTGGGACAGGATGTCCGTGTGTTCGCAAATGCGAAGAAAAACTGTTAACGACTTGGCTGGCTGCTCTGTAATCAGGGCAGTTGGTCCTGTGTTTCTCAATGTTTCACGGCCATCATAGGTAAATGCATAGATGAACGCGAAACCCTGAGGCCCTGAAGACGACACTCTCAATGCAACACTGCAGCAAACCAACTGGGTTCGGTGTTCGTTGGTCAGGTGTACAGGAATTCGTTGCCAGATTTTGAACTTAAAAGGTCTCACGGGCTTTCCAGCCTTGTGTCTTCTCCTACATGTGCGGATGTCATCATGTCGGGAGTCGCACGGAGCAGAAAACGCAGTCGGAGCCGCACAGCTACATTTCAATGGGATGCCGTGGAAGCTTGTGGCTTGTGATATTGACGAGGCCTAGGGCTCAACCCGATGTTTGCACGGTCGCTGTTTTTTCGTCTGCGGTTTGTGTTTGCTGCCAAGTGGCTGTCGCTGGGGTTTCTCGGCCACCGGCACTTGACCAGTTGATTGTCAAGTTTGATTTGTGCAGCAGGACATGCGATCCAGTGGCATACCAATGGATGTATCGCCGGCTTGCTTTAGCAGTGCTGTCAGCGGTTGAATGGATCTGATCATGGCGGCATTGGGGCCTGGCAGTGTCCGATAGGTCATTTCCTACAGTGTCGCCCTGCGAGCTACACAAGATGCCGAGACTGCCATGCAGCTGATGTGTGGACCCTGGCTGGCACATGCTTGTTTTGGATTCGTACAAATCCTGCTTATGCTCATTGGAGGGAAGAGATGGATGCGCGATCCATCATGGCGGACAACATGATCTTTGGAGTCTGCGGCCTCTGAGCAACATGCAGGAGTATTAGCCAAGTCGGCTTGTCTTGAGGCTGCGATGGGTGTGTGCGACCGTGCACGAGACCTTCCCCTGGCTCTAAGGCATGCGGCATGCAATACTCTGTGTTTCTGCGTGGCAATTTTCGTCTTTCGCATTGTTAACCTCGGGCAGGTTCTTAGAGAAGATGAGGCTCAGCGGAATGCAGCCGGACTTAGTCATCATGAACTCGGCTGGTGCCCCAGACCAAAGCTTTAGCTTGCCTCCGCCACAGGTCTGGGGATCAGGCTTCGGGGTTAGCCTCCCGAATGGCGCACATACCTGAAGGTCATCAGCACCAGCGAGAAGGTGGGACTGGTCTTGGCCCAGGGCTTTTTGCCCAGTGGTGTGCCTTGCGTCTGCAGGCTGGAGAATGGGAACAAGCCCTTGCTTTCCTCAAGGAGGTGCAAGTCCTGGTTAATTATGGGAGCCTTACAATCCATCCCGAAAAAGCGCCTGATTGCAACACTCAAGCTTCAACCCCCTAGACCCTAGGAGGTTCAACCCCTCACCCCAGCAGAGATTCCCAGCTTGCCTTGAGCCTTCGTGTAAGCAATAGGCAAAACCTTGTAGGGAACTGGTCGCAGGATACGTCTCATGTCCATCAATATGATGTGACCTAAACAGATACAGCAGAAAGTAATCACACGCGTATAGAACATGAGTCAGCATGCTCATGGGCTCAATGTCCATACAGACGAGTGAATATTCACTTGCGCGTGTCTTGGTGTCTAGACATACATGCAGACATGTAGCACCTTGGATTCAAACTTCGCGACTCGGGAGCATGCCTGCTCGCATGCCCCGCAAAGAAACCCAGTAATATGTGATATACACGCGCACACAAGCAGAAGAACTTCTCAGTCGAGCGACCCAGATGAAAAGCCACACCGGTTTCACTTGGTCTTGAGCGAGCAGCTCATAACAGTTTGCAACTACTTGAAGAAATGCTTTCGAATGTTTAAGCCACATGACCATGCAATGCAGACACACAGACACACTACACATGCACACAGCCAATTGGATTCCAACGTTCAACAAGCATCCAACGTGGTCTACGAGCTTGGTGCAGTATATTCGGCCTGTTTTCGCTCACGACTGCACAAACTTTAAACGCTAAACCCCACAAGCCCCGAACTTCGAAAATCCTCAGCCCATGGGCGGGGTCGGCACCACGTTTCTCGGTGAGCCCGATGCCAGGCGGACAGGAGTTCCCTGCATCCGGATTTGGTCTGGAGCCTCTGCGGCTTTTTGGGTGCTTACATGAGGGGGGTTCGTGGGCTCATGTTTAGGCTTCTATATAGTAGGGTTTCGGATTTGAGTGTAGTTCTTCGACTTTTGTTCATGGTTTGGGGTCTCGTCCCGTGGCGTGAGCTCAGGCTTTGAATTCAGGGTTCCGTTCCATAGTTTCGTCAGGCTCGAGGCCGGTCTGGGCTGGGGGGGGGGGTGGAGCCAAGGACGCTTCTATGACCCTGCGTCCAATGCAGGGTTCGGCCTTTATCGCCCGAGAAGCCCCATCCTTCTGCAGTAATGCGTTGTGCATCGTCGTGCCGTATGAAGTGTCATCTTCGTGCCTACGTTGGATAGTGCACTGCGCAGAGCGGGCTGAAGTGAGGTCTCGATCAGTGGTGCCATCAGCGCTTGCGGCAAGAGCCGACCTTGCCAGACTTGTCGCGTGGGACAATGCCAGGAGTGCAAGGTTTGGCAGTCACAGTATATATATATATATATATATATATATATATATATATTCAGGGCCGCACGCATGGGGGTAAGAGTTTGACGGAGGGTCCGTTGCCTATTAGACCAAAGTTCGCAGAAGGGGCGGGGGGTTCTGCAGAAGGGGGGTCCCATATTAGTTATTATAATAGCAGTTATAATATAGCTATATTATAATTAATATAAGTTTAATATAATTAATATACTTATAAGCTATTTATAATATAAATATAATATATTTAATATATAACTCTTAATATATTTATACTATTATACTAATAAGCTTATTATATTCCTACTATGTTATATATTATAATATACTTATGATATATCATATATATATATATACAGTATATATACTGTTACTATATTATACCATGTCAAGTATATACTAAGTACTATATTTGGCGTAATATATTATACACCATATACTTTGTGTATCTACTACATAAACGATGCATTAGGTACTATATGCCAGGGCCACAAACTGTGCACACCGAAACTTTGTTTAGTGTCATGCCGTAACGCTCACAACAAAAACATGCAAACCCCCGTGAATGATGCTGCAGGCTCAGAGTCACCACATAGCAGCCCCAAGGAGCCTCAACATTACAAAAAATCTCAAAGTAAAGACTTTATTAAAGAGTCACCACCATCCCGACTCCCGTGCTTTGCAACCCCAGCGTCATTTGTCATGTCATTGCCGTGGACATTGTCATCGTGGGAACAGCAGGTCAGGAACCCAGTGCACAGCGTCAGTCAGTGTCTGCAGAGCGGTATCAGGAACCCAGCGCACAGCGTCAGTCAGTGTCTGCAGAGCAGTATCAGCAGGAACCCAGCGCAGAGCGTCAGTCAGTGTCTGCAGAGCGGTGAACCCAGGGCACAGCGTCAGTCAGTGTGTGCAGGCGGTATCAGGAACCCAGCGCACAGCGTCAGTCAGTGTCTGCAGAGCGGTGAACCCAGCGTCAGTGTCTGCAGAGCGGTAGGCGGCATGATCAAATGCGCCGCATAGGCTAGGAAGTTAAGCTAGGATAGAGTCAGGGCGGCATGACCAAATTCGCCGCGTAGGGTAGCCGTAGGTAGAGTCAGATGTGGCATGTTTAATTCCGCCACGTAGGTTAGTTAGGTGAGTGTCAGCAGTGTCAGGTGTAGCCGTTAATTTAATTTGCAGTGCAGTGCAGCAGCAGCAGCGCAGTTTGAGTGTCAAGAGTCAAACTCAAACATCAATCACATAATAATACACTAATATATATAATAAATAATAGCAGTAGACCAAACCCGTAGTCCCAAACCCTGAGTCACCAATCACATGTCAAATGCAACTCCATCCTTATTATATAAATTACTTGCAGGGTCATCACCCCTAAAACTTGAAGTCTGTTCAATGAGTTAAGTGTCACTCTCTCCGGTAAGGAGTTTGTGCCCAGAGTCACCAAATCGCTACAACGGCTGAGGCCAAACCCCAGTGTCATCATGCTGCCACGGCCATTCGCAGCTGAGCAACTGGGCTTCAGAGTCATGGGGAATTTTGCCGCTCAGGGCTTCAGGGTCAAGTTGGCTTCAGATCATTGCTGCTAGACTAGACAGAGTTCGGAGTGTCAGGTAGAGTGTGCGGCTTCAGTGATTCAGGGCTTCATTGAGGGTGAATTTGGGGGCGCTTGTAAAGTAGTGTCAGATGGAGTTGGGAGTGTTGGTCGATCAGTGCCAGGTAACCAGAATTAGAATCGTTGTGACTCAGTGTGCTGCTGCAGCTATTGTCAGTGTCAATCAGTGAATCAGCTGTAGCAGCACCAGTGTCACCATGTGGGGTGGTGGATCATGGTGGGGCCCTACGCCACCTCCACCAGCATCACACTGGGGGCCCTACATCCAGCCTCCGCCAGGGTCAGCGGAAGCCCCTCCCAAGCACAGGCTGCTGGAAATATCATGTTTTGAGTTTTGATTTTTAAAATAACGTGCTCTTGTATAATTAATAATAACCAGCTCAGTTAGTAAAGTGTTCCCGCTTCCCACCAGGAGCCCAACGTCTAATGCAAGAGCGTCATTGCACTCTTCGTTGACGACGATCAATGATTCGTTACGGTCACAAGTGTCGCAGCTGACTGGGCAACTCGAAAAATCCCAGGATGACTTGAAGCGTCAGAAACAGGACCTCTTGATGTCCCAACATATCATAGTCATAAGCTGACAGCTTGAGTATTTTATTGGTCATTTGTGTATATTATGTTTCAGGGTCGAAGAATGAAGTAGAACTTCAGTGGATTCAGAATCCCTGCGATCAGGAGTTTGAGAAGGAGATCTACGAGCTGAAGGGT